AAATGCTTTGGCCACCTAATGAGAAGGAAGGACTCACTGGAGAAAAGCCTAATGCTGGGAAAGATGGAGGGCAAAAGAAGAAGGGGACGACAGAGAATAAGGTGGCTGGATGGAGTCACTGAAGCAGTCGGCGTGAGCTTAAATGGACACCAATGGACCAATGACAGGAAGGCCTGAAGGAGTGTTGTCCATGGGATTGCAGTGAGTTAGACACGACTTTGCAACTAACAACAACAACAATCCATCCTTTGATGTGATTCTATGAAAAGGTGTTGCATCTCACACTTCCTATATCCTTAGTTCCAAAGGTAGCCCCAAAGAGAGCTCTTTCCAATCCCTGTACCTGTCCATTTGTCTACTCCCTCCAACCTATATCAAGGTCCCTTTCTATCAAGACAGGGATAATCGCTGCTCATGCCTTCCATGGTCCCAGGATGAGGAACAGCCACATGTGAAAGTGTTGCACATTTTAACCTGTTTGATCCTTTTTCTTCTCTTTTGGGGGAGAAAGGAGACATCGCCTCCACATGATGGCTTTGTTCTGTTAAAGGGCAAGAGTGAAATGCATGAAGAGGGGAAACCAAAGAATGAAGTTCTTAGCCCCCTACTGTGCTTTCCTTCACAAGGAGGAGATGGAGGACAACTTTAAAAATCTCCAGCAACTTGGGCAACTAGTCTATGGGTTATGTCGCTGCCAACTCAACACTTGAAAAAAGATGAAATGCTACTGTTGAATTTCAAGGAGGCTTAACTTAGAATAGTTCTGTGTTTCGGTGTAGGACAAATTCTTTGTGGAATATTTTTGTCTTTTTAATTAAGGTAGGGATAATAAAGGCGAGGTTTATCTTGAGTGCAATGATGAATACTTAGAGCATAAATAGAGGCATTCTTCACTTGTTGAAGACTTTCTTCAAAGGCAATCTGACAGAATGCATGGACAATAATGTAAAAATAAGGATATTAAGACATGGAAGATCCCAGGACATTCATAGCAATATAATTTGGCAAACCCTAAAGGCAGACTTCACTGCAACTAAAGCAAGCTTTCAGTTAATCTACAGCAGTTCAATTATTCAGAATAAAACTAATCTCAAAGAGTATAATGGTTATTCAAATAAAGTTCTTGTGCATTTGACATAATGAACAGAAAGTTCCCTCATATGAAGCCAAGCGCAAATTCTTTTAATTTTCCCTCCAGGGAAATAAATACATCAGTTCTTAGTTATTTCAACTTGTAATTCAATTATCAATAGTTGCAGGAGAGGTTAGCCACTGCTTTTATTTTGGAGCTGTTTTTATTTGTTGATTAATATTTTTTTCATGTGAAAGAGAAAACTTGTATGTTTAGGATCTCAGAATTTCTGAAACATCAGAAGTGGGTTTTTGTTCCATCTATTGAGCTACTAAAATTGGCAGAGATGCAGTACCCAAGAAAGAACATTATGAGAAAGTAAAGAACGCCTGGTTCTCTGTACTTTGGCAAGAAAAAAGCAATTGCAGGTAGCTTTATTTCCAGAAGAAGGGAAAAAGGGGGGGGGGGAGGAAACAACCCTTATGTGCTACCTTCCCTGGAACTGCAGTATTTAGAAGAAGCATTCTTAACTCTATTAGAGTTTTTTAAGAATCTGCTTAAGCTGTTATTGTGTTTAGTACAGCTGGAAAACCTGAACATACGCTACTAAAAGTCCAAATTTATGAAAACGTATGTTTTAGACACATAATTCATTAATATTAATACAGAATATTAACAGAGAATATGATACTCAATTGTATGTCTCAGCCCGTGGTGAGTTAAGCGATACATGTCTTCCCTCTTGCAATGCCTGCAGGCTGTTAGGGGCTGGATGTGAAGCAACGGATTGAAATGAAACCAAGTGACTCTGGGTTTGAGGTTCTTTGGCCCAGGGAGAATTGCCACCTTTGGTCTTAGATGGGGTGGCACTACCCCAAACATGTGCATAATCTAAGGGTTCTCCTGGACTCGTGATTCCTGCTCTAAGATCAGGTGGGGCTACCCAGGAAGAGCATTTGGAAGCTCCAGTTTGTGCATGATTTTGTGCAGATGTCAGTGTGCACATGTATCACCTCTCCTGCAGGAGCTGCATTGGTTGCTGATTTGCTTCCAGGTGCAATTCAAGATTCTGATTGTCACCTTTAAAGTCCTTCCTGGCTTGGGACCAAGTTATCTGAAGGACAGTCTCTTGCTGGTCACATCTACCAGACCCATCAGAGTGGGGAGGCCAGGAATGTTGCAGGTCCCATAAATTGATTATACGATTTTTTCTTTTACTAGGCCACAGCCTGGGGATTGGGGACCTCTGCACTACTCTTTCTCTGAAATAATATTTTTTAACATTACTTTTGAACTTCCCATCTGTCAGTTGAGGTTCTGTCTCCATGTTCTTGATTTTTGCTTAATATTGAAAATACTTCTAGAACCTTATTCACACTCTTAATATAGTTGAAGGTTTCAATCATGTCCCCACTTTTCCTTCTATCCTCCAGGCTGTACATATTAAGTTTCTCCAATCTCTCCTGAGAAGGTTTTGTCTCTTAGAGCTTACACCAAGATTTCTATTGCCTGTCTCTGAACTCATTCAATCTTATCCATGTTTTTGTTTAAGTAAGGTCTCCATAACCGGACACTGTAGTCCCAATGGGGTCTGAGTGAAGCCCTTTACAGTTAGATTATGACTTCCTTAAATAAATATGTAAAACAGTTTGGGAGAAAAACCTTTCGTACACTTTCAACTCAATGACCATACTTCCATTTTCCATTGACCTTCCTTCCTTCCCTCCCCCCTCCCTGAATACCCTATGAAATAAAGCATATACATTATACTTGTAAACACCATTTAATTTTTAAAGAACAAATTATCTTTAAATCTTATTACTTGAAGAGAGCATATCCTTGTTAAAATAAAAATAATTATCTATTCCTGGAAAAAATATTAAGGGGTAAGAATGTGAACAGTATGGATTATCTCTTTATCTTACATACAATTTGTTCCAATATGTAAGCCCAGAAGTGTACAACAATGCAAGAATAAGTATGTCAGGGGAGGGGTATAACTGTATCCCGCAAAAGGGGGGCCACTACAGAGAAGGGCTTTGTCCAATGATCCCAATAGCTTACTGCTAACGAGTGTAGCAACCTTAAGAACTTGCAACAGCAGGATTGCCATGCCAAAGTCTGGTTACAGATGTTACATTTAGCCAATTCACTGACAAAGAAAACTAGATACATTTTAAACAGATTTTAAATTTTATAGATAACAATAACCATTAGTATAATTAAACTTTTAAAAACATCAGTGGGGCAGCTGACTTTAAAAAAAGAGGGGGGTATGCTTTCTTTAAACAGATGTGTATAGGTAATCCTCGACTTACAACAACAATTGGGACCAGAATTTCTATTGCTAAGTAAGACAGTTAAATGGGTTCTACACAATTTTATGACTTTTTTGCCACAGTTATTAACTAAATCAGTGCAGTTGGTAAGTGAATTGTGATTATTAGGCGAATCAGGCTTCTTTCACTGACTATGTTGGAAGCCATCTAGAAAGGTTGCAATTGAATCCAGGATGCTGTAACCATCGTAAATACATGCTGGTTGCCAAGCACCCAAATTTTGATCACATGGCCATAGGGATGCTGTGAAATTATAAACACAAGGACGGGTTGTAAAGTACTTTTTTTGGTGCCTTCCAATAACTTTAAATTATTGCTAAATAAAAGGTTGTTAAGTCGAGGCCTGCCTGTAGTTGGATGCAAAATAGGAAAGGTGTTTTGGTTCTGGCATGACCATATTTGTTAAATTATGTTTTCCTTAAAGAAAACATACTGAAAGCATAATGTATACCACTACTTACTTATCTATAAACTAGAGTTCTTTTGCTACCATTAAATATGAATGAAATATGAAAAACATTACTGTTTTATCCAAATGATTATTATTCACATGCAAATAAGGGGATTCAGCAAAACATATATTCATTTTCATGGGATGGAATATCTATTAATATGCAGAGGGGTTTATAATTCGGGGGAGGGATCTAAATTCTTAGAAAGATGTAAAATAGCACTCTAAAATCCAACCATAGCCTAGAAAAGCAACTCAAATAGAGAATAAATGTTGCTATTAGGTGATATGACACGAATTCTCTTCCTACCTTAAAAATATAAACATTAAATAGCATTTAACGTTTCCAAATTTTATACTGCATGTTCAACACTTCCATGGCACATCTAATCCTTGCTACATTTTTACATAATTTATAAAAGAGGCACTAACCATATCAGAAAACTAAGTCAGCATCCCATAATTGCATTAAAAAACAAAAGACATCCCCCCCAAGCAAAAAATCCTGAAGTCGATTAAAAAGCATATTATGGAAATAGTGTTTTCTATGTTCTGAACTCACAAAATGTCCCTCTCATTACTACCAATATAAAGTTACCATGTATACCATTTAAATTTATTCTTAAAAGATATTTCATCCCCTCCAATTTCTCCAACCTTAGTAAAGTCTTTATGTTATCTTACCAGAATATCATGTATATGTATTAAATGTAATTTATACATTTAAAAGAATACATAAATCTATTTATTGCAACTGTGTTCACATATACCTAAAATCAATGTATTTAAAATTGATTGATTACTGGGCCAAAATCTTTACAGTAAATTTAAATATAGAAACCACTTAAAGGTCTTGTTTAAAAAAAAATCCTCCTTGTTTGCAAGTCTGGGAAGTGGGATAAAAACTGATTACTTAGTTATCTGGAGGCTGACATTTTGCCAGTGAAATGTACCGCCTCCCACTTTGTTTTTATTGATTTCATCATAGAAATAACTGAAAAACATATTTCATATGTATTTTGAAGTAACCTGCAATTGCCATCTCTGGATTCCATAACGTTTTCAGCATTTATGACACAGAATTTAGATTTTACTATATTTCTAGAAAATATATAACCTTAGTTATTTTCAAACTCACTTTTGTGCTCCCTGAGACAACAGCTTTGTCCACGTTCGCTGGCAGCTGCTCTTCTGTCTGGCAAACTTCCAGTGACCATTCCGCACAGCGGTGATGAGCCCAACAATAGCCTAACACATGATGTTAGCAAATTAATCAATTAGTTTGGCCCCTTTTTGCCAAGTAATATCTAACTTTCAGCTTCAAAGGGATTAGAAAAAAGCACCAATGTATAACAAAAAGACAAATAGCATAACTTGATCCTATGAAATTTGGAATCTAATATTAGGGTCTTATGAGAATTTCTGTAAACTGAGATCTCAGCAAATCCATAAGAATTCATACACATATGTGTTACTATCATGTGACATGAAGATGTTTCTGGATAATGTAGTAGAAGGCCCTAGTTATGGTACAACAAAGCTCCTTCTGCCTAATTAGTGTGAAATGTTGCACTATTTAATATTGAATCTAAGAAGTTGTTGTTAAAGGCATTAGATATAAACTTCACATTTCAACATGTAAACATTTATCGGTTGTGTTAATCTTGGGGATCAAAACTCAGTTCAATTTATGCCCGTTAAAAGTTCTGGACTTCCAGCCCACCATGCTCTATTAAAACAGGTAGCAGGATTAAAAAGATCCTTTTAAAGCCTAGACCAGTCCAACTTGGACCAATGATAAAATATTTACATACATACATACATATTTACATACATACATACATACATACATACATACATACATACATACATACATACCAGAAAAACTGTAACACAAATGAAACATTACAATGGATTAAATGGGGCAGTTTAAAATTTTAAATGGAAACTTTTACCTAAATATAGTTGGTCCTCAGCTTATGACCACAACTGGGACCAGAATTTCCACCAGTAAGCACAGTGGTTCTTAAGAAAGTCATACCTGATTATATGATCTTTTTTGCCACGGTTGTTAAGCAAATTGCTGCAGTTGCTAAGAGAATGCTCAGTTGTTAAGTGGATCTGGATTTCCCCCACTGACTCCGCTTGTCAGAAACCAGCTGGGAAGATTGCCAATTGTGATCACATGACCATGGGATATTGCAAACTTTGTAAATACACCCCAATTGCCAAGTGCCCGAATTCTGACCATGGGGATATTATGACAGTTGCCAAGTGCAAGGATTGCTTGTATATCACATTTTTTTTCCAGTACCGCTGTAACTTTGAATGTTTATTAAACAAACAGTTGTAAGTCAAGGACTACCTGTATTTCACAAGCTTCATTAGGATCATAAATTGGATATTGCAACATGTACTCATATTCAATCCTTAAAACATCATATGGCTACAATTATAGCAAAATACTATTATTATAATTATTTTCTTTTAAAAGAGAATGAAATTGCCCTCCCACCCAAAAAAAGGCAGAAATAGATAAAAATGTTTTGAATGAGTTAAATGTTGTCCAGTTAAGAATATGTGAAGAATATGTGAAGAATACCTGTTGGTTCAAATAAGGCTTGGACATCAATGTCATCTGGTAAGCCAACCATTCTAAGTTCATCCCAGACTTTGACTACCTGATCATCAGGAGTAGCTTCAATGTTTATACAGGTACAGGCTGTTATATTCTGTTCTCTGCATAGGGCACAAGAAATATTTATAAAATTAAAGATGACACATACAGGAAGTGTTTTACACATTAATATAACAGTAAAATGTTTTAGACAACAAAGAAATAATATATGATTTAAACAATTCATTTGGTTAAAGCATGATTGCACTGCTAATTAACATGTTCCTTTATTGTAAAATACCAACTTGGTTTTTTTTCTCCCCAAAAATGCAGCATTGGTTTATTCATGGGAGAGCTATAATTTTTGTAATTTACTTGGTCCTTCATAAATGAGCTGAACTTTATTCTGAACAAACAGTCTCCTCTGTGTACCTGTTAAAAGGATGGTTTGACTGGAAGAAAAAGGGCAACAGCATGGAATAAAGAGACAGAAAAGAAATAAACGCTGTATTTTCCTATGCCTTGGTACACTAAATTATATTTCTGCTGCACAGCAGGCAGCATGAAATGATAACTTCACTTAGTGGAAATCAATTTTACATAGAATAAGAGACAATTTAGAGCCCCAGAACTAAAAAGCGTGACCCCAACCCATATTTGGGCAGAGAAGTGGTACCGATTAAATCCTCCTAGGTCACAAACTAACTTCAAGGGCAACTGCCTTGAAGGGAAATCAGTTTTTTTTTATATGGCTTGCCTTCTCAATGTTAAACCAGCATGACAAACTGACAGAGAATGAAAGGGACATTTTCTTTCAACATGTTATTGTCAACTCTTTGAGGTAGACCAGACTAGGAAACCAAAGTTATGGAAGTATTTATTTATCACGTTTTTGAACCTCTCTTTTCTCTCGGAAAGGGATTCTGGGTGATATGCAGTAACATGCTAAAATATAAAAACAGCATATAAAAGCTGAAAATCTAGAATTTAAAAGTAGCTTTCTGAAGGAATCTGCAACATATCTTCATGACTGACAAGGTGGGACCAGCCAATATAAGGGGGCGAAGATCACTCCATTATGTAATCTGGCCCTATCTCAGGAGCATTGGTACCCAATGCAATTCTTACAAGAAAAGGTGTTATATGCGCCCATTTTCTGGCACCCAATATGGGTAGTCCTTGACTTATAACAGTTCATTTAGTGACTGTTTGAAGTCACAAGACCACTGAAAAAATGTGACTTATCACCATTGCAGGAGCCCTATGGACACGTGATCAAAATTCAGATAATTGGGTCTGACTCATATTTGGGACGATTGCAGTGTTCTGGAGTCAGCATGATCACTTTTGTAACCTTTTGACAAACAAAGTCAAAGGGGAAGACAGAGTTACTTAACAATTGTGGCAAAAAAGGTCATAAAATGGGGCAAAACTCATTTAACAACAGAAATTTTGGGCTCAATTGTGGTCATAAGTCGAGGACTATCTGTATAGCTTGTACAATCACATTCTGCACCAGCTGAAGCTTCCAGATAATTTTCAAGGGTAGCTCCATGTAGAGCAGTGATGGGGGACCTTTTCAGCACCGAGTGCTGAAACGGGAACATGTGTGCATGCACGTGTGTGCACACGTGTGCGCTGGAGCACTACAAACATGAAGACCAGTTGGCTGGAGTGCACATCCCTGTTTTTTGGGCATTTTTGGGACCGTTTTCAGGCCCGTTTTTTGGGACCGTTTTCAGGCCCATTTTTTGGGACCATTTTCAGGCCCGTTTTTGGGGACCATTTTCAGGCTGGTTTTCAGGCCATTTTCAAGCCCAAAAAAACAGCCTGAAAAATGGCCTTAAAACAGCCAGGTTTTTGGCCGTTTTCCAACACTCTGGTGCCTGCAAAGACCAGCTCGCACCAGAAACCAGAAGAGCAGCTGGCGAACGGCACATGCCCACAGAGAGGGCTCTGTGTGCCACCTCTGGCATGCGTGCCATAGATTTGCCATCACGGATGTAGAGCGTGTTGCAAGATGAGAGATGACCACGGCATGAGTGACTGAACTGAGAATCATCATATCCATAAAAGAGTGTAATTGGCACACAATATGAAGTTGAGCAAAGGCCCATCTAGGCATGTCTGCCAGCCGTTCTTTGAACAGGAACTGTAAGTCCAAGAGGCCCCCAGGTCTTACGAACTGGGTCTTTCTGGGGTAGTGTAGAGCAGAGATGATAAACTTCGGGATACAGAGGGGCTCACCTACATTCATTCTATCTTACTAAGGTTCAGTTGATGTCTGTTGTTCTCCATCCAGGCCTCCACAGCCTACAAGGACTGCAAAAGAATGCCCACAGCATAATTCCCTTCCCTTGGGATGTAGATATAACTGGGTATCATTAGAGTACTTGTGATTCCTCATCCCATGGTGACAGATGATCTCACCCAGTAGTTTCATGTAGATGTTAAAAAGGAACAGAGAAAATACCAAGGCTTGGCATCCCACAAAGCAGGGACCAAGAACTGGTGCCCTATCAACATCGCTTGGGACCGGAATTGGAGGAAGACATGAACCAGCACGAAACTGTTTCATCCACCCCCAGCTCTCTCAGTTGGCCTAAAAGGACATCATGGCCAATGGTATAGAATGTTGGTACTTGTTTTATTACAGATAGTCCTCGACATTACTGTAATTGAGCCTGGCTATTAGAATTATAAGCCATGATGATCATAAAGTGGACCACTATGTAACTGGACCAGTTTTATAACATTTTTGCAGCAGTTATTAAGTGAATAGTGTGCTTGCTAAGCAAACTCATTGTTCACCATTTTTAAAAAAAATCAGAAGTAAAGACCAGTTTGCAGCAAAACCACTGTAAATTATGATCGTGTTACTCCAGGAAACTACAAACAGCCATAAATGTGGGTCAATTTCTAGGTGCCCAAAATGACTGCAGGAGAGGAAGAGTGATGTGGAAATTTCAAAATTGGATCATAAATATTTTGTGGAGGTCTGCATAACCTTGAATGGTCACTAAGTGACCAGCTCTAAATCAAGAACTACTTGTATAAGGTTCCAATAATATAATCTTGCCAGTCTAAATATTCTTTCTCCCTCCTTCCCTTTATATTTGTGAGAACTAGGAAGGGTCAAGTCTGAGATGTTTTCTCGGGTTATAGTTATGTCCTGGATTCAGGTTACATTTATCTGACCATTGTCTTGGTTGCAGATTTTCCTCCTGTTCCACAAGTTTATTTGTACTAGCTTGCAAAGAAGAAGTAAAAAGAGTGACTATCTTTCAGACATATCCGGCTTTGGAGATACCAGATATTTTGTATTTGTCAAATTATTTCATTTTTGGAAAAGAAAATGCCCAACTTTTCCATGCTAATCGAGCTATAGCTTCAGGGATTTTAAAATCCATATCTGTTTCATAGAGCCCACCTTCCAAAAGGCTCTACTATTGTAGATCATATTGGCCCCAATCCTGGCCTTTCATAAAAGGTCTTTCACTGAAGACCTTCATGTGCTCCAGTTGATGAGCTGGCAAAAGGCCTGAAGTCAAATGGCCTTTTGCCAGCTCATCAATTATTTTGTTGGGTTTATCCTTGGTGACATTTTTGGTTTTTTATTCTTTGCCAAGGCTGTTTTTGTTACTTTAACATGTTGTTAGCCACCTTTGCCAGATTATTCATTTGAATCAATTATATATATATATTTAATCCTAAATTTTTCTGATTTAAATAGTTTATTTTATTGACTGTATTGTACGTTGATCAGAGACCCTTTCCGAGGGAGTTAGGTGGTTGAGAAATAAAAAAAAACATTCCCTATACTTAAAAATGCTTTGCTTATATAGTGGCAGAAAGCTAAGCCCACATAAAGTTAAGAATTCCAATTTAAGAGAAAACCCAGAACCCAAATACACATCAGAGACCACTATTTTAAATGAGATTCAAAGTTGTTTAAATTGGATTATCAAAAGTTGTATAAACATTTCTAGATAGAGTCATCTCTGTGAAACAACTGCATAAGCAAAAAATGTTTAATAATAATGATTTAATAATAAATTTATGAAGACTTTTAACTACTGATGTGGAGAATAAAGGCAATAACCTTGAGGAAATATGCAAGCACCATATACAAGGAGAGAGGGCTGAAACATTCCTTAAGTTCTAAGAAGATAATTTTCAGAAATGATCCAGGTAGGTCTTTCCTGATTCATTGGGATATAAGGAGGAAGGAGTTTGGATTGGATTTGCAAGATTGGATTTGCAAGATTGATGCCAACCCCAATAAATACACCAGACCTCCCCACAAAAAAAGAAGTCAATTCTACAGGAAGATTAGAACTACAGGTAGACCACAATTGAGCTGAAAATTTATTTTGCTAAGCAAGACAATTTTTAAGTGAATTTTGCCCCATTTTACAACTTTTCTTGCCATAGCTAAGTGAATCATCCCATTGTTAAATTAGCAACACGGTTATTTAAGTGAATCTGAAGAGATTGTCCAATCTCTTCCAGTGTTGGAGCTTTTACAACTTTTGGAGGCAAATTTTTCCACTGATTAATTGTTCTGTCAGGACAATTATTCGGTGGTGCACCTTGCCTCCAGAATTTTGCTTATCAGAAAATAACAAAAGATGATCACATGACCCTGGGACACTGCAATCATCATAAATATGAGTTGTAATTATTGTTAAGTGTGAAAAACAGTTATAAGTCACTTTTTCAGTTCTGTTGTAATTTCACCATATAGTTAAGAAATACCTGTTTACCTTTGTGAGATAGAGTTTTATCTCCCATCCTTCTAATATATAATAGTTCTTCTCTAGTTCTGTCAAGGTAATCTCCATTATTTTCTATACCAAATATTATTTCACTAAAATTAATTATTGACTCATTTCATGTGATTTAGATATAAATAATTTGCATTTCAATTTTAGAAAATACTTCAGCACAAATTACATATATATAAAACAAAAATGTACCTTAATCTGCAACATCATAAGAGTGACAAACTGTTAATACTGATCAGGAATATGCCTAATTAAATTTCAAATCATTGTAAATTTCACCTCTACATTCAAAACATTTGAGATTCTTCAAATACCTGTTACTTATTTGTTGACATGTAACTGAACGCATATTCAATACATTTATTCTATTAGCTTTTTTACTTTAAAAGTTTCTATATTTAAAATGAATCAAAAAAGGGAAAACAAATTACAGATACTCAAATAAAAAGTTACAGTATTTTCAATATGTTAAAATATTGTAATCTAGACTCTCCTTTAAATGATCCATTTTAAATCAGTCAAAATACTTATTTTGCATAGTTTTTGTTTTATTTCTTACTTCAATGCTTTTATCTGACTGGCACCAGCCCAGAAATCACACCAATAAGGAAACTCCAAAGAACAATCCCCTTTAGTAGCTAAATTTGGAGACTAGCCAGGATAGCACTAGAAGTATGATTGCATCACCCTCCTTGGGGACAGAGATGGTTAGCTGTTCCAAGTAAATTAATTTTGCACTTTCCCATAAACTACAAAAACTTTGATTAATCAGTTCTTTTTAAGTATTTTTTTAATGCATAAGTGCATCATTCAAACTCAAAAAACAGCTACAACAGAATGCTGCTGAGGCATAGATCATATTAAGTAAATGCAAAAATGAAGAAAACAAAATGGGATTAGAAAGAAAGTTGCAGTGTCAGCTGTGCTTCTCCTTCCAGGATTATAGAAGAATAACCCCAAAATGGTCCGGTGCTAGGAATGTTTCTCAATTTTATTTGAAGATTCATTCTGCAGTATCACAGCCTCTGGGTCTAAATCCGGCTTCACCTTGGCTTATCACTCTCATTTCTAACCACTCTTGCTCCAGGTTTGTGGGTGTGTTTGTGTGTTCATTTCTACTCTGTTGTTTTACACTTTCTGTCAACCAATGTATTCCTATATTCTGTAAGAAACTTCTGCTTTTGATTTTCAGCTGCCACTTAGAAAACTTTGGATGTATGCCTTGCTAACATCTAACATTTGTTTTATTAAACAAACAGATAAGCAGACCAAAACCGCATGCTGCTTCAAAATATTATTTATGCTTTGGGAGAAAATATTAGATAAAATAGTTTTATTTTGTAACAGATAGAAATGCTTACTTTTTTTGTCCTCTTGCTTTGTGGAGGACTGGGTTCTGCCTTGGAATACTCTCATCAATGGTATCGTTGCTGTCAACAGTTTCATTGATATTTAAGGGCTGGTTGTTCCATGGAGCAATAAACCCTGGAGTTGGACTGAATTGTTTAAGCTCGCCTTGTCCTAATGAGCTGCGTTCCCCACAGTAACAAAAAGCGCAGACCTGTTCACTGCTACAACAAGCAGACCAAAAATAAAAAAGACCAGAAAGGCAAAAGAGAAAGTTCAAATGGTATTTAAAAATGCAAATAAAGTATTAATATTTAAATTATATCTAACTTCACCTGTAAATATTTTCACAAACTTATCCGAGATGAATTTTAAAAAATCCAATGCTAAGCATTCCTGGATTGCCTATACTATAGGGTGCAACTCTTTTCAGCTGTGTAGCACATCAAGAACTGCACTGCAAAAGTTATCATAGCCATGATGAAACCCTAAATTTAATCATAATTACATTTAAAGGATAATATTAATTTAAAATTAATTGCTTAAATGTGACAATCTATTTTTTTCTGTTAAATTAAAATCATAATTTGGCAGCATTCTCTGGAAGGTCTCAGAGAAGCCAACCTAAAGCTTGAGCAAAACTACTGGTATGTTGTCCTAGGATAGGGATTTTTCTTCTAGGTTTGCTTAAAAACTGACAGCATTGTTTCTTACCAGTTTAAGTTGAAATGAAGAAAAACTCCACTGTAAAAAAACTAAAAAAACACACACAAATGACACCCTCCCACCTAATTATTATTTTCAGCTTACCCCAAAAAATCTGTTGATCACACAGGTTGGGCATTTAAATTCTAAATTTAGTGTGTAATCTTAATTTACAATTGGTTTGGACTCAGCTTGTTCAAGTGGTTAAGACACCAGCCTAAAACCAGGAGACTGAGTTCTAGTACTGCCTTAGATATGAAAGCCAGTTGGGGATCTTAGGCCAGTCACTTTCTAAATCTTAGCCCAAACCATTTTATAGGGTTTTTATAAGGAAAACAGGAGGAGGAAGGGTTATAAGGTATGTTCGCTGCCAAAGGCTGGATATAAATGAAGAAATAAATTTGCTAAGATATTCTTGTGAAGCAGAAAAACAAATCCAAACTGGTTCACAGCTATTTTCAGTGCTTTTTCTTTTAAAAAGAAAGGCAGAATATATCTGTTATAAAATTTAGTCAATAAAGTGACTGATTTCTGATTTCCATATCATCCAAAATACTATTAGAACCATTATAAATTTAGAGAAAAGTTATAAGCATGAATCTACCTCTCTCTTGGTTAGGAATGAACAGAATAAAAACAATTAAACCACTTATAGATAAATCAAAAATCTAAAAAAAAGTAGCAGGTGACATATAAAAGTCTCAGCCATCCTCTCACTCATTCTAAATCTGCCTCGCTAACCTGCTTTTTGCTTCAACCCCAATCGAACAATTGGTGTTGGCAGAGTCCACAGAGACTGAGCACTGGAGATCTGGGGTTGCCTTCTTGTCATCGTCCACTTCACTTTGGGCATCCTCCTCTGTAAATTGTTCCCTGGTATCTGCTTAGCAAGGAGAGTGTAAGTTGATTATAGATTTCATTTTAAAGTGTTTAAACAAAACAAGCCATTCTGTTCTAAGCTGTTTTTTCCCATTTTCAAATCATGAGCAAAGTTATACCACAAAATGTTATTTATTTGTCTGTTTGCTCGTTTGCTTATTTAAAACATTTATAAAACTGCCGACTTTCCAACCAATTCTGGATGGCTCCAAAATCAAAACAATCTATAAATTTATATTAAAATTATAAAACTAAACATATTAAAACGTTAAAATGTTAAAATCAACAAAGACCTGGCACCAAACCAAACTTCTAATGTGTAAATTATCCAATCTTTTCCAAGCACTTGGGGGGGGGGGGGGATGAGATCTGCAATCTTTATGGAAGGCTTGCCAAACTGTAGAGTGCTCCATAGAGTAGGGACTGCCATAGAAAGGGTAGGTTTCTTAGCTTCTATTAGATATTGAGGGGAAAGCAAGTAGGACCATCCCCATCCTATTTCACCTGGTAGGAAGGGAGTCCTTAGGGAAAGATGGTCCCACAGCTAACTAGGCCCTGTGCCATTCAGAGCATTAAAGGTAATGATCAGCAAGTTGAATTGCACCAGAAAGAAGCTAAAAGCTACTGTAGCTCAGACAACAAGGACCTTACATGTGCAAACCTAGAGACTTCCCCATTAATATGTATGATGCTGCATTCTGGACCCAGCTGAAGTTTCTGAATCCTTAAGGGTAGCCCCGTGATGAGAGCATTGCAATAATACAGATAGGCAATGACCAAGTCATGAATGATCATGAGCAAGGTCTCAAAATTTAATTATTATTATTCCCGCTTGCAGGAATGTAAAAAAACAATGTGGTGGATGTAGATTTAGTCTGTACAATTGAACAGGCAGAGGCAGAGTTGTGACTGTCTTCACAGCAGCTCTACTACTCATTGATAAATGCTATAGAAGGTGTGTGACAGTTTAAATTGCTTTCCAATTTCCATAGAACTTCATTGGCTTTAACCCTTTCTAACTCTTGTCAATCTCATCCTATTAACTAGATCTGCTTCATTGTTGGCGTAAGATTTTTAGCAGGACACAAAAATTGTTATGGGGTGATGGACATATGAAAAATCTACTTCTACCGGGCTAGGAGGAGAGTTAAATGTAAATCCATCACAGACTGTAGAAAACTAGTAATAACGAATTTATTTTAGAAAAGGACCCGGGTATAACTGAAGTATAAAGTAAAGTTTACTGAAACGGCATGTCAATATCCAAACTGAAATGTGAGAAATAAAATGTAAAAATAAAAAACACCTCTCAAGATATAAAGAGGAGGGAGGGGGAGAAAGAGAGAGAGAATACTTATTTTTTAAACTTTACAAAGCAGATTATTACTAGATATTGTGAATTTATTATGTGATATAAAATTAGAATGAATGAGTATCCCAAACAATATTTAGAGAAAATGAACAGATTTAAGAATGAATTATTACTTATCTACCCATCACAATCTAAACAGTATCAGGAGCTTATATATGTTGCATTTCTGCTGATAAATAAATAAAGGGAGACTAGTATATAGTCACACAATACACACACACACACACACACACACACACACATTATTAAAAGCCAAGTAAAACATTAACAGTATAGCTGCCATAAAATAGTAAAAGAATATTACTTAAACATAAAACAAGAAAAAACAAGAAATAAAGATGGCCTAATAAAATCAGGAAAAAATATTCTGGAACTCCATCTCAAAAGCTTTTGAAATATTAAGGAGTGGGCTAGCTTGATCTCGGCTGTCACAGATCATCAGTCCTGCCCCAGGAAACCAGGACCTTGTTGCTTTAATCTGAAAATGTGGGATCAGTCACAGTTCTCTGTTTGATTTAATTGTTTGGGCTTACATTGATTGGAGTGGGCTGTAATACATTCTTTAAAAATTGTATCCCTCCTTAGCTCCAGGTAAAGCTCAAGGTACTATGAAATTAAGGTATGCATTGCACTTACACAACAATAGCTATCACAGTATTCAAAACTATTATTAAAAATAATAAAAACAATATTCAGCTATAGTGAAAGAAAGATATTTCCTGCTAGAATTCTTAATGCAGCAGAATGGTGGAGACAGATCAATTTTTCCATTAATCTGGCTATTGTTCTTGGGATGAAGAAAGCTAAATAACAGCCACCATATGGAGGCTGATCCAATAGTATCAATGATAGTAGGAATAGAAACAGCCTCAAATACAGCTACATTCAAGTCAATGTAACAGGAAGACTGAGATTCACTTGACATGTTCACTACAAGTGACATTGGACCCCGAGCCACAGTATTGTGAAACATGAAACATAATATCACTTGTTTAGTCCACCCAACTTGGTCTTTGACAACCATAAAATGTAAAATTGATAATACAAAATTGATGCATAATTTTGTATATATAAATGTTAATTTTTTATGTTTACTAGAAAACACCTGTAAATTAAAACTAAAACTATAATTAAACACTATGTATGAGTCTAGAATAGAACATTTTTATTATAGCTTCATATTAGCTTTTACAGAAGTCAGATGGAAAAATAATAAAAATCTTATTAAATTAGGTAAGAATAAAATAAGGCAATAAAATACAAGTACTACAGGATTTAAAGTTTAAATACTAAAGATTAAATCAATCAATTACAAAAGTACTTTGCAAAAGTATAAAATAATATTGTCAGTTATAAAATACAGTATTATAAAATAACTCTCACATAAAATTTTAGATAGGATTGCTAAATTGGATCTTTTGTTCATGGTTAGACCGAATAATAATTCTCATGTTTCACTATCTGCTATCTAATGATACAAACTCTGAAAAATGGTAACTATAAAGGTTAATGTTAGCATTATGATCTGAAAGAAATGAAATGCAAAATTTGTCTGGTCTGCCAGCAAATCTCTTTAGAAGAGGACTTCGATATAGGTGATAAATTTCATTATAGAAACAACAAAACAGAAGCACATGCCCTACAGTTTCAATCAGAAATAGACTTATGGCTATAACTGAGCCTGGAATTATGGTCATAATTTGCAGTTGGTAAGCAGCTGAGCATGTGATTGGACTTAATTTTATGACTTTTTTGCAGTAGTTGCTAAGCAAGCACAGCAGTCATTAAGGGAATCAATTTTACACAATCAGTATTTTTTGGGCAGAACTTGAAGGTAAATTCTGGAAACAAAACCCCAAAAATGTCAAAAAGCATAGTCGTAGGGCATCACAAACAGCATTAAAGTTGAACCAGTTATCAAGCATCCAAAATGTGACTACAAAAGGAGATGGGTTATAGCCAATGTAACTTCAAAATTGGATTGCAATAGTTTGTTTTTTGGGGGGGGGTGTCCACTCTAACTTCTGTCATTAAACAATCAATTGTTAAATTGAAGACTACCTGTGGCACTGATGGCAGTGGGCAAGTTTAAAAATTATACATTGTTATACTATAACACTAAAGGTAAAATCAATAGAATTAAGAGCTGTGCATGAATATAATTCGAATAATCTTGGCATTAGCTGTAACCCTAATTTTTGGAAAGGATTTAATCATGTTGAAATTGTATCTTGTTAACTTTAAAATAGAGATCTCTAAACTTGGCAACTTTAAGACTTGTGGCTGGTGAATTTTGGGAGTTGAAGTCTACAAGTCTTAAAGTTGCCAGGTTTGGAGGCCCCACCTTCAAATATAAATAATACAGTAATTATTAAGGTAGAAATACAAATATAACACATTTCTCCCTCAAATAACACTAAACTAAGTATAAATTCCTGTTGTATTTTATATGTGCTGCACAGAATTTGACTACATTATAAATATAAAAGTTGTGCCTTGCATTTGGCTGAGAAAAGTTTAAGACTGCAAATATGTAGCAGTTACTTTTATTCTGAAATTTTCGTGTCACATTTGTTGGATAAATTTTTCTGAAGCCAGACTAGTGGTGGCGGCTGAACCAGTACTGGCATGCGGCCTGGGTCGCCCAAACCGGCAGCCTGCCATGCCCCCAAACTGGTTCCCTGGTCACCGCTGTCTCCGCCATCTTGGTTTTTAGTTCTACGCATGCATACAATTTTAATTTTAATTGGACTTGCATGAGGTTACAGTGCGCATCTGGCATACAGGCGCAAAGCGCGCCCATGAGCAAACCGGCAGTAGTGCCTGCCGGAGCCCACCCCTGAACCAGACATATGAAAAATTACCTTGGAGCATTTAAACACGCTATTTCCACTGCACCACTGGGAATATATCCTTAGTTCCCTGGAAAAATGTTTATTTTGCTATTTATTTCCAGCAAAGCTGATTTCCTTTGCTATACAAGTAAGAGGCCCCTTATTATTAAAGTGTCCTCCTAGCTACCCAGATCTGAAAATCCAGATCTCCTTTCTTCCTTGTAACTATGAGTGCTTAAGACACTGGCCTAGAAACCAGGAGAATGCAAGTTCTAGTTCCACTTTAGGTATGAATCTAGTTTGATGACCTAGGGTCAGTCTAAATCAATGGTTAAACATTTCTAGAATCTTGCCAAGAAAACTGTAGGGATTGTGTCACCAGAAGTCAACTCTGACTCAAAAACACCAAAAAAAAACAAAACAATGCAAAAGTTATAGCTGTAGAGCTGTAGAGCTGAGCTCCTTAAGATACCAAAACTCATATTCTCTTGAGTGACCAAGTAATCGCCCAGGATGCCATGCACAGAAATCTGCAATTTAAGCACTAAAAGGTTAAAAAAAAGCTGCTAAACAAAATTGAAAATAAATACAGATGATGAGGCTGCTGCTAGCATTCCAGGAGTGCTTAGGCAATGCACCACAACATTTTATCCATCATCCTAACTGGCTGCCTAACAAGAAAGAATTTAATCAGCAAGATCCTGTTTCCTGCAGCCCTGTCTGGCAAAGGACATCTCCCCTGACCCTGCCAGCTCACTTGACTGATTTATCTTGGTTTATCTTATGCAATCTCAGAAC